ATATGTAATCCCGCTGCAGCCATCTTGGATTTTGGAATATGAGTTGTTCATATGATATGAAGTGCCTGACATTGTGGTTTTGAGGAAAGCTGGATCTATTGGATTGATATACAAGTGCTGGTTGACCACGCTTAACCCCTAGAGCATTTACCCCCCTTAATGACCAGGCCTCTTTTTGCTACTCGGCGCTGCACTAATTCAACTGATAATTGCGTGGTCATGCAATGCTGTACCCAAACAAATTTTACGTCCCTTTTTTTCACACAAATAGAGCTTTCTTTTGGTGGTATTTGATCACCTGTGTGCTTTTTATTTTTTGTGCTATAAACAAAAAAAGATCAAAAATTTTGAAGAAAAAAACAATATTTTTTACTTTCGGCTATAACAAAATATATAGTAAACTCAAAGTTAGTTGTACATTTAGACCAAAATGTATTCTGCTACATGTTTTTGGTAAAAAAAAAAATAAGTGTATATTGATTGATGCTTTGTGTGAAAGTTATAGCGTCTACAAACTATGGTATAGATACTGCAATTTTCACCATTTTTTTGCTATACAGAACTGCACTAGTTTAACTGAGAATTGTGCAGTCATGCAATATGGTACATAAATTAAATTTATGTTCCTTTTTTCACACAAATAGAGCTTTCTTTTGGTGGTATTTGATCACCTGTGTGCTTTTTATTTTTGGCGCTATAAACAAAAAAAAATTTTGAGAAAAAATATTTTTTTTTATGCAGCCTGTGGACTGAATGAAAAAAAAAAGAGAAGATTCCTCTGCCAAAAAAAAATTTGTGGTATGCCCACCATTAAAATATACTGCCCTGCATCCACCCACTTCTAATGGTGGGTACACATTAGGTTACACGGTGCCACATGCGCCAATTCCAAGATTGTACAAATGTCTAAATAGTGACACGCTTGAATAAAAATTGTCCACGTATAAGTGGTACCCCATATGGAAAAAGAATGACACCAAGTCCCAAACTATCTTGCCACTGCTCCCCATGTAGTCTGGGCATCTGGGGGGCTCCATGTGACTATCTTTTCCCCTCGTAAATCTGAAACTTATAAGTATAGCCTGTTGCCATCTCGCAGGTCTTCTACATCTTGACCCCATATCTGGCACGCTTGCTGGGGAGAAATTGTTTTGAATGCAAGATGGCCAGAAAAATTAATGCCACGTCTCCAAGTCATACTGCAGTGCTGGTATTATTAATATTATACAGGATTTATATAGCACCAACAGTTTGCTCAGCACTTTTCAATATAATGGGAGACAATACAGCAACAAAACAGTTCAATGCAAGAGGGTTAGGAGGGCCTGATCCTTGGAGCTTACAATCTAAGAGGTATGTGAAAGACCAGGATGTACTAGGCCGCTGGTGCTTGCCAGTTCACCAAAAGGTAGTGTGGCACTAGTACTGGCACTCTGCTGCATATGAGAGTCATCAAAATTTACTGGCAAGTGCTAACAGAGATCAGGCCTGATTCTGCCAACACTGCGGTTATTGTGTGCAATGTATCAAGTGACAGTGACACTGCACTTGGTAGGGGAAAGGGGGGTTACCCCCCCCTTACGCATAGGGGCTAAACGCAGGTGCCGGGGCTGATCCTGCTAACGCTATGTTTTTGGGGACGCTATATTAATGTGAGTGCTGATCAAAGATATTGATCCGTTCAGACACTATACTAGCAATGAAGGTTTATTGTGTATGAGCATCTTCCTGGCATTCAAGGGGTTAAATGTGATTACTGGTGTACTAGCGGGCAATCTGATGCCATCTGGGAGGGGCGTTAAAACCACGGGAGTGTGAATCACATATATATATATATATATATATATATATATATATATATATATTTATATATATAATGGACTTTTTGCTATAAAACATGTCCAGTAAAAAAAATTTAAATATCAAATTTCGTCATAAATTTAGGCCAAAATGTATTCTGTGACATGTCTTTGTTAAAAAAAAATCCCAATATGTGTAAATTAATTGGTTTACGTGAAGGTTATAGCGTTTACAAATGGCGGTATAGATACTGGATTTTTTTATTTTTAGACTAATAATAGTGGCGATCAGTGACTTATGGGTGCGATCAGTGACTTATGGCGGCAATCAGCGACTTGTGGCCGGACTGTGGGACTACGACGGACATTCTGACACTGGGGGAAAGTGACTTGGGGTCACTGACATCCCCGGTGACACTAATACAGTGATCAGTGCAAAAAAAACCCCACTGACACTGTACTAATGGCAGTGGGTAGGAAGGGGTTAACTTTTGGAGACAAAGGGTTAACTGTGTGAGGGGAGTGTTTTTACTTGGGGGGCGGGGGTGTGTACCTCTCTGTTACACACTGTTTCGGAAGGCTGTGTCCAGCGATGCCAGAACAGTACGCTGAAAACTGACAGGGAGGAGAGCTCCATTGAAAACAATGCAGCCTTCCTCCCCGCCAATGTTTGCCGGCAATCGCCGGGCTCCGGCGGGTAATCACCAGCCGGGACCCGGTGATTGACACCCGCAGTTGTTATCGGTGCCGCGGGTAGGGCGTTCGCGTGCCTCGCGCCTGCCCCCTACCACGGAATGCAGGATAATGTTTATATACGTGATCCTGCATACAGGGGCCGCCTTGTAGCAGTATATGTACTGCGAGTGATCCCCTAGTGGTTAAATGGGGGTCATATGATTCTGGGAAGCCTCCCTTTGTTGTACACCAAGTTGCTGTGTTGTTCATCATTAAGAAGTTTTGGTGGCGTTTGACATCCACATCTGTCGTTTACCTCATAATCGAAGTAACACTGAATTCACAGTTTTTGGCTTCACATTTGGCTTCCTTTATTTTTTCAATTCGTGGTGACACATAAGAGTTTGATATATTTGCATTGCATTATTGTATTGCACTATTGTTTTGTGATGTTTATTATACTATGTTTTATGGTATCGTGCTAGCCGTTATGTTTTTTGACATCCAATTGAGTCCTAACGCAGGTTTTTTTGTTCTCATTAATTGTTGCAACTGTTCAGATGACGGTGATTTTTCAGCAGAATTTTTTTGTAGTTAAAAGTCTGAATGTATTTTTTTAAATGTTTCACTACCCAATCTGTTCATGATTATGAAGTCACTTTTTTCCTTTCTTTTATCTGCAAACATTTGTCAATTTTTTTTTGGTTTACTTGTACTGTTTCCTTCAATTCCTTATATTCCAGGTAGTACACCAAAGTCCTTGATAGGGATGAACCAAACATATACGGGTTCAGTTTGATCCCAATCAGGTTCCGTGAACATTTTAAAATGTATTGTTTAGTGGAGCGGGTCTTGTCAGACAGGTTGAAAGGTTGAAGGGCAACATTGAAAATACAAAAATCCTTCATTTTACTTGCTTAGGGGATGCCTTAAAGCTTTATGTGGTTTCACAAAAACATTATGGTTTTCAGGGACATCACCAGAGAAACTGCGTTGTGTGGCGTTTACATACATTGCAAGTGTAATCATTTTGTTTAATTTTAAATGATCATTGGATTACATTACAGCAGCAGCAATCCAGTTTGACTGGTTTCTACATAAAGGCTTTATTTATTAGATCATTTCTAACATGACAATGATTGTTTTATGTAGCAGTGATAGACCATAATTACCCACTTGCCCTCCAGAGGATTTACCCCCCTTCCTGACCAGGCCATTTTTTGCGATAAGGCACTGCGTCACTTTAACTGACAACTGCGTGTTTATGCAATGCTGTATATAAATAAAATTTGTAATTTTTTTCCCCCACAAATAGAACTTTCTTTCTGTGGTATTTGAACATCTCTGCATGGTTTTTTTTTTTTTTTTTTATGCTCTAAACAAAAAAAGACCATACATTTTGAAATAAAACCCCCCAATATTTTTGACTTTTTTCTATAAAATATATCCAATAAAAAATTAAACAAAATAAACTTTCTTCATAAATTTAGGCCAAAATGTATTCTACTACATGTTTTGCGAAAAAATAAAATCCCAATACAATAAATGAATTGGTTTACGTGAAAGTTATAGCGTCTACAAATGGCGGTATATATACTGGGATTTTTATTTATGTATTTTTTTATACTAGTAATGGCAGCGTTCAGCGACTTATAGCGGGACTGCGGCATGCATCCTGAAACTGCATGGGACCTAACTGCCACCGACATCCCTAGTGACACTAATACAGTGATCTGTGCTAATAAAAACCCACTGACACTGTACTAATGACACTGGTCAGGAAGGGGATAACATCTGGGGTGATCAAAGGGTTAACTGTGTGCTGTGTGTGTTTCACATTATGTGCTGTGTGCTGTTTTACTATGGAGACATGCTGCTTTCTCTTTCTCTGTGCAGAAAGATACAAAGCAGCATGTCCATGCTGACAGGCGAGAGATCTGTGTTGTTTACACACAGATCTCTCCCCTCTCGGCTTTTGCAGCGATCACTGAGAGCCGGCCGAGAATCGCCAGTCAGGACCCCAGTGATTGACATCCACTGCAACCAATGGTAGCGTGGGTAGGGCCGCAAGCAGGTAGGGTGGTGCACGCACCCACTACCCGGAACTGCAAAATCATGGATTTTTATACGTGATTTGGCACAGAGCGGCCTTGTCAGGAACCATCATGACGCATGGGTCTGCACATGCGTAGGTGTCTGTCAAGACGTGCAGGCAGCAGGGCACTAGGACCCAGGCGCACCCGTCACCTATGACGGCGCTGGGCAGGCACTAGGACCTAGGCTGCGCCTGTCAGGCACAGGGCAGGCTACTTAAACCAGCCCTGAACACACACAAGTTGCCGTATGGTCTGATCTTGTTCCTGTGATCTGTGAGTTGATTCCTGACTGTTGCTGACCTTTGCTTGAACCTGACCTTGCTGATATTCTCCTGCCCTGACCCTCTGGCTTGTTTGACTACTGTTCTGGATATCCCTTCTGATCTGAACTTCTGTTACCAGACCCGGCGAATGACCTGATTCCCCTGTGCCTGCTGTCTTGTACCACGCTATCCGCCCGTTACCGACCCGGCCTGTCTGACCACGCTCTTGCTCAGCCATCCATCCGACCCGCACGGATTAGCTGCTATTCTCCAGACCTGTCTGCCTCTTCACACCAGGCTCTCCACCTTTCATTACCTCTGGTGATTCCTCTACCTCAGGTGGGTGTACTTAGAGGCCGCGACCTGGTCACTGTCCGCTCCAAGCCCATCCCCACCATCAGGGGCTCTGGTGAACAAGCGGACTGGGGCTTAGACTCCGTGCCCTGGGGAATCCTGTCCTGTGGACTGCTAGAGTACACCAGGTGGTCCATAACACGGCCTTTCTCTAGCTGTATATCTACTACAGGTGGTAGGCAAGTGGTTCTATCACAAAAACTGAAAAAATAAAGCTAATGCTATCAACTTCATACATATTGGCAAACAGTGTTAAAACAAGTCAGTTACTGTAGCATAGCTTGTGATCTTCTTTATAGTACCACACTGTACCTCAAAACCACAGCTCCACAGATGAGGGCGTTGTTAAGGTGAACTAAAAAAACATTACAATGCCATCTTTCAGAGACAAACATAAGGTACATTGGCTAGATAATATGTAAGTAATTTGATTGGGGCCCAGAGTAGCAATGTAAGAGATGGGTCAGTTTTTTTTTCAAGAAATAGCAGAGTATGGCATTTCAAAAATGGAAGCTATGACTATGTTATATACTTTTTGCACTTAAGGCATATTTGTACTTTGGCAACTATGTTAGAAGAAGATATGAGGCATATTTTTTTCTGAAAAAAAAAAAAGTTAAATATGCAACAGTCAAGTGTTCGAAATATTTCATGGGTATGCTGCACACCATGTAAGTAGTGTTACTGGGCCACAATGGAATACAGAGAAACTTGGCAGGAGTTATATGTAACAAAATTATGTATTTACGTATAACAAAAAGTATGTTTTTTTTTTTTTTTTTAGCTATGGTGCTACATAGTTATATAGTTAGTATGACTGAAAAAAGACAAAAGTCCATCTAGTTCAGCCATTAAACCCCCCCCCCCCAAAAACAAGTTATAATCCTATACAGTTGATCCAGAGGAAGACCCCCTCAAAGCATGATCCAATTTGCTCCTGCATTAAACTTCATTTGCCACATAGTTGCCCAATTGAGAGCATTGTGGTCAGCTTGTAAATTGGAGACATCCTGTAAGGACGTTATTCCACTGCACAGCTTGGTATCATCTGCAAAGACTGAAATGGGATTTTTAATCCCAGACCCTATATTGTTTATAAATATATTAAAAGGTAAGGGCCCCAACACTGAACCTTGGGGTACCCACCACTGACAACCCTAGACCAATCAGAGTATGAATCATTAACCACTACTCTCTGAATACAATCTTTTAGTCAGTTTTCTAACCATTTACATATGGATTTTTCCAAGCCTGTAGACTTTACCTTACACATTAGCCGTGTGTGGGGAACTGTGTCAAACGCTTTTCCAAAATCCAAGTATACCACGTCCACCACCTCATAAAAAGAAAGATTTGTTTGACAACTTCTGTCTTTCATGAATCCATGCTGTCTGTTGCTTAAAATATTTTTTTTTTTCTAGCAAGAACTCATCTATGTGGTCTTTTATTAAACTCTCCAGTATCTACCCAACTATAGATGTTAAGCCAACAGGTCTATAATTACTTGGTAAAGATTTTGACTCCTTTTTACCCCCTTTTGCACTGGCACCTCCCGGCCCTTTAGGGGTTTCAGAAGCCAGGGGGCGGGGGTTTAGGGTCATGTGACTGACGTGACACGCTGTCACGGCAGTCACATGATCGGGAAAGGTCCCGATCGAAAGAGGAGATCTGGAACTTTACGCGAGTACCGGACATGTGTGCTGGGAGCGCGCAGGACGCACGCTCTCAGCACATGTCTTTTTTTAATAGAACGCAAATGTGCAGCTGCTCAGCGTTTAGGCTCAGGCGCTGGGAGGCCGCACATTTGTGTTCGGCCAGTGTGAAGAGGTTAAATATAGGCACCACATTGGCATTACGCCAATCCAGTGGTACTATGCCAGTCATTAAAGAGTCCCTAAAAATTTGAAACAATGGCTTTGAAATGACAGAGCTCAATTCTTTAAGGACCCGTGGGTGTATGCAATCCGGTCCAGGTGCTTTATTCACCTTTATACTGTCTAAATATTTTTTAATCATATCAATTGTGAGCCAATGTGGATCATCTGGAGCTGTGTCAATACCATGCCCGTTATGGACAAGAGCTCCCCCCATGCTCCTTTGTATACAAAGAGCTGAAGAAGGTATTTAATAAATTTGCCTTCTCTTTGTCCCCAGTCACCCACTCTAGATTATTTTGTAAAGGGCCTACATGCTTGGATCTGACCTTGTTACTATTACTATATTTGAAGAATTTTTGGGGGTTTGTCCTATCTTTTGAAATCTGTCGTTCGTTTTCAATTTTTCATTTTGTGGCTTTTATTTCCTTTTTGCATGTTCTGTTATATTATTTGTAATGTTTAAATGATGATAGCATTCCTTCATTTTTATATTTAATAAAAGCTGTTTTCTTGTTATTTATAGCTTTTTTTAACTTTGTCCGTAAGCCACATAGGTTTGATTTTTAGCCTTTTAAACTTGTTGCCCATGGGAATATATTTTGCAGTGTGTTCACATACAGTTCTTTAGAAGAACTCCCATTTCTGTGTTGTGTTGCATGCAATTGCATTTCCGTGTACTGTGGGAAACCAGATATAGAGAATGCAGGGTCCGGGGTTTAGTAGCACTTTAACTGAACACTTTAGCTAAGGTTAGAAGCTGATTGGCTACCATGCACAGCTGCACCAGATTTCGCACAACTGTGTTAAGTATTTCTAATTGGATCCTAGATATGTAGAACTGTAGCTAAATTGCACCTATATGCACAGTATGAATGGCACCACTGGAAAATTATTACATGCATTTACTGTATATGCATTTGAAAATGTCCTCTGCATCTGGATAGGAAAAAAAAAATTAAAACAAAAGAATTGCACAGATTTGAAGCACCCCTTTTCAGTCTTTCTTGGATAGACGACAATTTTTTTGAGGAGAGAGCAAACACATTGCATCTAGATATGAAAAATGCATTGTTAGGCTACTGGAGATGGATACATGTTACAAAATTGCACCACAAATCTTAACCCTGTACAGACAGGCTGCAACTACCGATCAACTTTGCAAGTTTAGGGAACCACTCCCCTCTACTGTTAGCTGCTAATATCCCAGTATTCACTATAATTATACACATTGTTTCCTGTCCCTGCTGGTTGTGAGACCCTGAAAGAGGAAGAAGTGGAGAGAGACAGAAACAAAATCTCAGCAACATGTGCCCTGTCTATGTCCATGCGCATACAAGGGTTAGACAAAACAAAATGGAAACACTACATGATTTGCAGGTGTAAAAGTCATGACTTGTTTCATGTTGATGTAGTCATGTCAGAGCTTAGGGAGCTTGAAAGAGAGCAGATTGTTGGTGCTGCTTAGCTGGTGCCTCTGTGACTGAAGTTGCCAATTTATTTGCCGTGTAACGATGTAAAGTATCAAAGGTTATGACAGCATATACAGGTTCTGGAAAAATGTCTTCTGATAAGAAAAAGCGCAGTTGATATGGTCAAATGACCAAAAGGATATTGTGCAGGATTGGAACCTAGAATAAATAACCAACTGCTGGAAAAGTGACTGCAGAGCTCAATCTCAGTCAACTTTCTTTTCTGCAATACTATCAGCTGCCCCCTACGCTAAACTCAAAAACACACACAGATGACCATGAGACAGCAGCTTTTTATAGTGTAGGGGGCTTCAACAACCATCATTGGCCATAGTCATGCATATGTCATGCACATTGACAGTTGTTTGACTTTTATTCACGTGATGTTTGCAATTTATTGTTTGCCTGTTTATTCAGCAACAGCTTTGTCATTACTTAAATTAACTAAGTTTATATAAATATATATATATATATATATATATATATATATATATATATATATAAATATACAGTGGGGCAAAAAAGTATTTAGTCAGCCACCAATTGTGCAAGTTCTCCCACTTAAAAGATGGGAGAGGCCTGTAATTGGCATCATAGGTAAACCTCAACTATGAGAGACAAAATGAGGAAAAAAATCCAGACGATCACATTGGCTGATTTGAAAAGAATTTATTTGCAAATTATGGTGGAAAATAAGTATTTGGTCACCTACAAACAAGCAAGATTTCTGGCTCTCACAGACCTGTACCTTCTTCTTTAAGAGGCTCTCCTCTTCCTGCACTCATTACCTGTATCAATGGCACCTGTTTGAACTTGTTATCAGTATAAAAGACACCTGTCCACAACCTCAAACAGTCACACTCCAAACTCAACTATGGTGAAGACCAAAGAGCTGTCGAAGGACACCAGAAACAAAATTGTAGACCTGCACCAGGCTGGGAAGACTGAATCTGGCATAGGAATAGGCAAGCAGCTTGGTGTGAACAAATCAACTGTGGGAGCAATAATTAGAAAATGGAAGACATACAAGACCACTGATAATCTCCCTCGATCTGGGGCTCCACGCAAGATCTCACCCCGTGGGGTCAAAATGATCACAAGAACGGTGAGCAAAAATCCCAGGACCACACGGGGGGACCTAGAGAATGACCTGCAGAGAGCTGGGACCAACGTAACAAAGGCTACCATCAGTAACACACTACGCCGCCAGGGACTCAGATCCTGCAGTGCCAGACGTGTCCCCCTGCTTAAGCCAGTACATGTTTGGACCCGTCTGAAGTTTGCTAGAGAGCATTTGGATGATCCAGAAGAGGATTGGGAGAATGTCATATGGTCAGATGAAACCAAATTAGAACTGTTTGATAGAAACACAACTCGTCGTGTTTGGAGGAGAGAGAATGCTGAGTTGCATCCAAAGAACACCATACCTACTGTGAAGCATGGGGGTGGTAACATCATGCTTTGGGGCTGTTTCTCCGCAAAGGGACCAGGGCGACTGATCCATGTACAGGACAGAATGAATGGGGCCATGTATCGTGAGATTTTGAGTGCAAACCTCCTTCCATCAGCAAGGGCATTGAAGATGAAATGTGGCTAGGTCTTCTAACATGACAATGATCCCAAACATACTGTCCGGGCAACGAAGGAGTGGCTTCGTAAGAAGCATTTCAAGGTCCTGGAGTGGCCTAGCCAGTCTCCAGATCTCAACCCCATAGAAAACCTTTGGAGGGAGTTGAAAGTCCGTGTTGCCCAGCGACAGCCCCAAAACATCACTGCTCTAGAGGAGATCTGC